CCAGGGCCCCTTCCTACGCGCAAGAGCGGCCCCTCCGCCAGGGCAGAGTGGCGTTCGGTGCGAGCCCACGGGGGTCCCGCCAGCACTGGCCGGCGCGCTCGGACTGCGCCGATCTGGCCTTCCCCGTCGCGAAGCTCCCAGGCCGCGCACCGCCCTCAGGAGGGGAAAAACACACACACACACAAGTCATCGTCCACTCCCAGGAAGATATGGGACAGCATGGGAAATGGGGGGGGGGGAGACAACGAATCCTAGTACATGGGGGGAACTAGGGGGAACCCTGCCATCTGTGTGTGTATTTAGCCGTGTGCCCCAGGGCCCCTTCCCCTCTCTTGCCCCGAGGAAACGGGACGAAGGAGCTGGAGGATCGGCGGCGCGCCAGGCGGGGAAGGCAGAGGGGGCGGGCCTCATCGCCCCCTGTCACTTCTCCTATCGGCGCGCCGCCGAGAGGAGAAGGAGGAGGAGGAGGAGGAGAGGAGAGGGAGGAGGAGGAGGAGGAGGCCGCCGGCCGCGCGGCCCCGCGCGCGCCGCCGCCGCGCGGCGCCCCGCCGCCGCGCGGGCCCCGCGGGAGCCTCCACCCACGCGGCCGCCGCGGCCGCCGGCGGGGCCCCCCCCGGCGGCCGGGATGGCCGCGCCCGGCGGCGCGCCCGCGGAGGGCGGCGCGGGCGCCGCGGCGCCGCGCGAGGCCCGCGAGGGCGGCGGCGGGCCGCCCGGCGGGGGCGGCGGCGGCGGGGGCGGCGGGCCGCCGCCCGGCGGGGGCGGCGAGCCGCCCGGCAAGCGCGCGCGGCCGCAGGGCGCCGCGGGGGTGGGGCGGAGGGGCCGCGGCGCACCGGGCGCGTTTTCCGCTGCTCGCAGAGGGTGCCTGCTCGCAAGCGTCGGAACACACACCACACACACATACACACATACACACATACACACATACACACATACACACATACACACATACACACATACACACATACACACATACACACACATACACATACACATTCACATTCACATTCACATTCACATTCACATTCACATTCACATTCCCATTCCCATTCCCATTCACTTTCACTTTCACTTTCACTTTCACTTTCACTTTCACTTTCACATTCACACACACATACACATACACATACACATACACACAGGTCTGCTTCGATGGAACTTCTCGTAGATCCCCCCCGGCAGATCCAGGCCATTTGCGAGCAGTCACTTTGCGAGTAGTGGAACGCGCTCGTCGAGTGGCCAGGGGGGGGGGCGTGAGCCTGGGCCTCCCAGGCGGGGTCCGAGCAGACGGGGTCGGAGGATCGCGCCGCACCGCCGAGGCATCGGCGATGCGGCTCGAGGTGGAGCCAGCGTTTTCCCACGCCGATGGCGCCGATGCATTGGCGACGCTCCGACCCCCCCTGCTCGACGCCCCTCTGGGAGGCCTCCCGCGAGGGAGCGGTGCCGACGCCGCCGCCCCCGCCACCCGCGGCGGCGGCCAGAGTCGCCCCGAGGCCCTGGCCAGGACGCGCCCCAGGAGGTTCTCGCTTCCTGGTTACCTGGACTTGCGCTTGCTTTGGGCATGCGTCGCGAGGAAACAGGCCAGCGTTGCGCATGGATGGGGCAGAACTTGTTTCGATTTGCTATGATGATGATATCCCCGATCTCTTTTATGTTTCCTCACGCGGCATGATGACTACATCATTCGGCGGAGTATTGCTTGGTCCGCTTAATGCTTATAACTCTGGTACCCCACCCAAACTGGATTGGAAACTGCTCCGCTCCAGACCCTATGAGTTATCAGGCGGGATGCGCCCACGCGCGGAGTAGTTGGAGCATTTCTATTCCGAGCTACTCCTCGTTGGTGCGCTATTGGCGATGGCAGATTGAAAGAATCTCTCGCTGCTGTGATGGGGAACATCGCAGTCCGCCCCGTCTTTCATGGCTTCATCCGGTCAGGGCCCGTTGTCGCTCCGATGGCGATGATGATCCTGATTGCATTTACGACGATTTCGGTCATTGCGATGCTCGCGATGGCGGCGATCATGCGACTGCTGCCACTGGGGCCGCTGCAGACAATTAGTTCTCGCTTGCTGGTTATCTGGACTCGCGCTTGCCCCGGGCATGCGTCGCGAGGGAAAAGCCAACACTGCGCGTGGCCAGGACAAAAAAAACTGCTTCAATGTGCCCTGATGATGATATCTCCGATGTGCTTCAAGCTCTGGCACGCGGCACTATGACTGCGTCATTCGGCGGGGTCGTTTCCGATTCGCTCAATGCTTCTGGCTCTGTCATTCCACCACCGGATCCGCTCCCAACCCTAGGAGCCATCGAGCGGGAGACGCCCGTTCGCGGAGTAGTTGGACCATGTCCAGTCCGAACGACTCCGCGCTGGCGCGCTGTTGGCGAAGGCAGATTGGAAGACAGGCTCGCCACGGTGATGGGGAACATCGCAGTTCGCCCCGTCTCTCATAGCTTCGTCCTGTCAGGGCCCGGCGTCGCGCCGACGGTGATGGCGGTGAGGATGACGATCGTGGCGGCACTTATGACGATGGCGGTCATGGCGATGCTCGCGATGGCGATGATCATGCGACCGCTGCCCCCGGGGCCGTTGGGGGAGCCCCCATGCGGGGCCGCTGCAGACAAGTAGTTCTCGCTCGCGGGTTGCGTGGGCTCGCGCTTGTTCTGGACATGCGTCGCGAGGGAAAAGGCAATATCTCACGTGGTCCGGACAGTAGTTGCTTCAATTTGCCGTGGGGATGATATCTCCGACCCCATTCAAGATTTTTCACGCGGCACGATGACTGCATCATCCGGCGGAGTAGTTTCCGATCCGCTTAATGCTTATAACTCTGGTACCCCACCCAAACTGGATTGGAAACTGCTCCGCTGCAGACCCTATGTGTTATCAGGCGGGATGCGCTCGCGCTTTTCTATTCCGAACTACTACTCGCTGGTGCGCCCCGCGCGCAGAGTGGAGTACTCTTTCGTCACGGCAATGTACCTCGCAAGTGCCCAGCCGCTGTCCATTCGACATCGATTTACAGTGTGGGCGGCAGTTATCGATGCTCCGGTTTTTTTTTTTGCGTGCGACAACTATTCAGCTGCGCCCACCGCGCTTTTACTTGTATCCGTGATGATGGGGCGTGTATTGGTGTGCTCGGGTGGAAAACAATGTCGAGTGGGCAGCGGTCGGGTAGTTGCGGGGTAATTGCGCAATTACTTGGCCGCCATCGCTTGCATAATATGGAGCGCCGCGGGCGTCGTCGGGCATCTGCCCCCCGCAAAATTTGCTGCGGCGACGCCGGCGACGGCCAGCCCGATGTAATGCGTCGGTCGCTGGGCGGGCGGCGGCGGGCAATTGCGCGGCGGCGGCGCAAATGCTCCGCCGCCGCGCCCTTCGGTGGAACTGGCTGTCTGCTAGCCCGGCGGCGCGATTAGCGTGCCAGCGCTGGCTCGTCGGGCGGCCGCTCGACGGCGCCGCTCGGGCGGCGCCTCCGCCGCCCGCGGGCCCGCGCAAGCGCGGCGCGCGGAGCGCGGAGCACGCGGCCCCGCTCGCGCACAAGCGCGGCGCGCCGCCGTCCGAGCCCGCGCGACCGTTTGAGGGCGTCGCGCGAGGCCCTCGCCGCCTGCCGCCTGTTCGGCGACGGCGGCCTCGGCAGTCGCCGCCCGTCAGCGCGGACGCGCGTGGCCATAGGAAAACGAACTGACGCGAACCGCCTCGCTAATCGGACGAGAACGCAATGGGCGTTAGCCAGTGGAAGCGAGCTTGGCGCCTGCAAGCAAACAAGGCTCATCCAAAATATGCTGACGGCTCTTGTTGTCGATGCTTGCGTGGTCGGCGCTACTTCAATGCCGGCGCAAAATAGTCATTCGGACCCGGACGCAGCGGGGTCCGAACTATCGAGCGCCACGATTTTCAACGGCACGTCAGTTTATTTGTGACGCGGCTTGCACGATGCTTTTGAGGGCCTCTTGGGGGCCTCTTGGGGGCATGTTGGACGCCTCTTGGGGCCTCTTGAGGGCGTTTCGGGGGCCTCCGGGGGGCTCTCGAAGCCATCTTGGGTGGAAAGTCTCGGAATGTCAGTTCGTATTGTCCCTCTTGGGACAGTGTTAGGGGCTCCTGGGGCCGCCTTGGGGCCCTCCCGGGCAGTCTTGGAGCCCCTTTGGGGGGTGCACGAGCCGTCGTGGGATGAGCTTGGGGGCCCCTTAGGCTGTTTTGGCTTGTGTCAAGACCAAACAGGCGACGATGTCAAACATCAACGTTTTCTTCAAGGACTGGGGCGATTGCTGGTTCTCGTGGCCGTCTCAGCGATCCTATGGGGGCGCTCCTGTGCCGTCTTGGAGGCCTCATTGGCGGACCGTCGCGGACTTATTCCGGGCGGTTTCGATGCTCTTTTGGACTGCTTTGGCGCTCTGTCTTGGGGCTTCTCGGAGGCTCCAGAGGCCCCAGGAGCGCGCTGGCGAGTTCGCACCCCGGCCTTGAAGTGGATTTCGGCCCCAGGGCAGGGGGAAAGGAGGAGGGGGCCAGCCAAATGTCTCACGCGAATTTTCACCCCCGGCAAGCGGGGGTCGGCTGATTCGGATCCTATCAGAATCCGTTTGAGGTCCGATAGGCATTGGCAAGCTGGTGTTCATCGGCCGCGGGCTTTCGAAGAGCTTAGGCATCCTGTTGGGATCCGATTGGGGCAAAAACATAATTGATTCCGCAGCGCATGAATACAGGAATATATATCGACGAGAGTCTGGAGAGAAATCGACCAGATAGCACTTCCCCCTGCGGGCACCGCAACACGTAAGGAAGAGAAGGGGGAGGAGGAAAAGGGGAGGAAGAGGAGGGTCAGAGGGTCAGAGGCAGCATGCGCTGGAGCTCGCCCTGCGCGGGCTGCTGCACAGCCCGAGGAGAAGGAGGGGAAAAGGAGGAGAAGGAGGAGGAGGAGGAGGAGGAGGAGGAGGAGGAGGAGGGGGAGGAGGAGGAGGAGGAGGAGGAGGAGGAGGAGGACGACGACGACCTCGAGGACCAGCAGGATCAAGATCAGAAGGAGCAGGAGGAGTAGGAGAAGGAGCGGTTCCACAGCTGCCCCGAAAGGCGTGGAGGAGCGCTGGGTGGTGCTGAGGACGGAGCTCTTCGCGGGTGAGCGCGGCGGTCTGTCCGGTCCCGCCGAGTGGAAGCTGGTGGTGCCAGTCGTGGCCGGCAGGCCACATGGCAAGGCCCTCAAACAGCTCCCCGACGAGATCTACAGCTCCCTGCGCGGCTGCGGCTTCCTGCGGGGGGAGGCGCAGGGGCCGAGCGAAGCGAAGCTGCGGGCGCTCCGGAGCATGCCGGACGAAGTCGCCTCGGGCTGGCAGCCCTTCCGCGGGCGGGTGCCCAGGCTTTCCGGCGTCGAGCGGGGCCTGGTCCCGGAGCGGCACAGGGTGCGGGACTTCCCCAGGCCTCCCGCGGAGCAGCCCCGCGAGGTGCGGTGCCGCCGCGTCAGCTACCGGCTGGCAGCGGGCGGCTGCGGCATCGAGGTGCGGGTGGAGGTCAACGTCGCCGCTGCGTTTGCCTTCATGGCGTCCTTCCTGCGGTTCCCGTGCGACGGCCTGGAGGCGGACTGGCGAGTCACGGACGGGGAGCCGCGGGATCTGGAGCGCCTGGCCGCGCCGAAGGCGTTCCAGCTGCTCGACAACTCCGCCGACCCCGCTCACCCCCAGCCGCCGAGCTTCAAGTGCGACCTCTGGCCACGGCAGCGGCGGTCGTTGCACTGGATGGTGCAGCAGGAGGTGGAGGGCGTCAGGTTCACGCTGGACTCCAGGTGCTTCTGGTGGCGCCACGGGCCCGCCGCCGCAGCCCCCAAGAGCGCCGCGCTGGAGTGGTCCTTGGACTGCCGGCTGGTCTCGAGCGTCCAGGTGTGGGGCGGGGTCCTCGGCGACGCTATCGGGTACGGCAAGACCTCTATAGCGCTCGGGCTGCTGGACGTGCGCAGGGAGGGTGGCGCGCCACCCCTTCCGGAGGAGGACGAGGGATTCTTCTTCCCGTCGGCCGCCACTCTGATCTGCGTCCCTTCCAACCTCCACCAGCAGTGGGTAGACGAGTTCGCCAAGTTTACCGGCAGGCGCTTCCGCATCGTGTCCCTGAAGACGGGCGCCGACATGAAGCGGGCGACCGCGCTCCAGCTGGCCAGCGCCGACGTCGTCCTGTGCAACTACCAGCTTCTGCGGGGGAAGCCCTACGAGAGCCGGAGGAGCGAGCTGACAAAGCTGGGCTGCCCGCAGGCATCGGAGCTGTCCGATTACGAGCGCGTCTTCGGGGTCCGGCTCGCGAAGCACAAGCTCGAGGACCTCCCGCTGGACGACCTGCGCCGTGGCACGTGGGGGTTCATCAGGTGCCCCGAGGCCCACCCCTGGGCGGTCTTCGCCAAGGGGAAGCCGGAGAAGCACGCGCCGGCCTGGCAGCAGCTCGCCTTCCCCGTGCTAGAGGTAAGTCGGGCCCGTCACTCTACAGGGCGTATATTCAAAATAATCGAAACATAGTCCGGGGACTATTTTTTGAGCATTCTTTGGCGATTTGGGAACACTTCTTGAGTATTTTTAATTGCGAAGGCCTTACGGCCGGTGCCGCCGACCCTGGAGGGCGACCCATGCGTTCTCTAATGTGGCGGGGGGGGGCCTCTTGGGGGTATCTTTGGGTCTCGTGTGGGGGGGGGGGTCGTGTTGGGGCCGTTGTTGGCAATCGTGAGGCTTTCTCGGGAGCGTCTTTGGCCGACGACGACGACGTTGACGGCGGTGGCGATCTGGAGCTATTCTCAAGGGTCTCTCGGGGACTCTCTGGGGCTCTCTCGGGGACTCCTCGGGGCCTTCTTGGGCCAGTTTGGGGCAATCTTGGGGGCATCTGGGGCCGTCTTAGAGCGTCGGCAAGTTGAAACGGCGAGAACGCCAAAATCTGTCAAAAACTTTAGGAAATTATTGATATTTCCCTCTTCGTGCCCTGTTGGGAGTGCTCTTGGAGACTTCTTGGAGCGTCTTGGCAATCTCTTGGGCCGTCTGGAGGCTACTTTGGCGTCTTCGACCGATGGTTCGGCGATTCGGGGTCCTCTGGAGCCGTCTTGGTAGCCTCTTGGGGCACTCTTGGCCAGTCTGGGGGCTTTTCTAGGTCCCGGAACATCCCGGGGGGGATGCGTATCTGCCGGACCCCCCCCCGGACCCCCCCCGGGACCCCCCCCGGGGACCCCTCCCGGGGACCCCCCCCGGGACCCCCCCCCCCCCGGCGGGGAAGGGATTAAAGGGCAGGGGCTTCCCTTCGACTCAGCTACGACGTTGCTCGATTTCGCTTTGGTTTCGCTTTGGCTGGCGCGCCTGAGGGGAGGGCGACGACGACGACGACGACGAACAGAATAGCATCGACGACGACGACGACGACGACGACGACGACGACGACGACGACGACGACGACGACGACGACGACGTTCACGACGAAGGGAAAAGCATCTTCCACACGCCGTCAGGGTCGGCGGATTTTTCGTCGAAGATCCCCCTGTATGGGGGACACGCCCGACTTACTGCCGGAGCAGTTCTACTGGCGGAGGATGATCATGGACGAGTTCCACGAGCTCGAAGCGCTGCAGCCCGACCAGCGGGCGTCGCTGCAGTTCATGCGCGCCCACCACCGGTGGGGCCTGACGGGGACGCCCATGCTGGACGCGGCGAGGCACGTCGTCGCGATGGCCGCGCTCCTGCGCGTGGACCTCGCGGGCCCCATTCGGGCCGGGCGAAAGGGGGGGATATTGGGAAAGGGGGGGGTACGAGATCTGCGGCATGCAGCGGGTTTCGGCCCCGCCGCCGGGCCCATTCCTCGATACATGGGCGCCTCCCGGCGCCGGGAGGCGCCGGGAAAATCAGCTACGTGAGCTGATTCTCAAACCCCCCCTTTGCTATCCCCCCCTTTCGCCCGGCCCGACCCATGGTGGGGCCATCCGGCAACGAGCGGTGCTGGGCGGGCGACACGGACCCGGTCGCGGTGGAGAACTGCCACCGCTTCCTGGACGCCTGCGTGCGCCGGAACACTGCGAAGCCCGTCCCCGTCCGCATCGTGGAGCACCTCGTCCTCAGCTCGAAGGGGGGCCAAGCGAGACCAGCGGCGGCTCTCAAGAGCCCGGCCCGAGTCCGCGTACGATCTGTCCCTGGACCCCTCGCGGCGTTCCTCCTGACCCGACCAGTTTTGCAATGCGGATCCAGCACGGAGGAGGAGGAGGAGGAGGAGGAGGAGGAGGAGGAGGAGGAGGGGATCGAGGAGGAGGGGAGGAGGAGGAGGAGGGGGAGGGGGAGGGGGAGGGGGGGGAGGAGGAGGAGGAGGAGGAGGAGGAGGAGGAGGAGGAGGAGGAGGAGGAGGAGGAGGAGGAGGAGGAGTCATCCTGGCGCGACCAGTTTTTCAATGCGGATCCAGCAGTGGCGACGCCGCCCAGCAGAAGGCGCAAAAAAAGGGGGCTAAAAAAACGCCAGCGAAGGGCCGGCGTCGTCTCGCCTGGCCCTCCTCCGATCCTCCGGCACTCGCTCCAGGAGAGGGCGCTCTACCTCGACGCGGCCCGCGCCGCCAGCTTCGACAGCTTCCAGCTCGACGGGCTCGGCGTGAACGCCGCGGCGGCGGACCTGCAGCGCAACCAGCGCCTCCTCATCCTCTGCTCCCACTTCAGCGCCGAGGCGCTGAGCAGCGGGGACGCGAGCGAGGAGTGCGACCGCGTCCTGGAGATGAAGCAGCTTGCGGTGACGCAGGCGAAGGAGGCGCTGCAGGAGGCGATGCTCTCCCTCGAGGCCTTCCGCGCCCTGCGGATGCCCTGCGCGGCCTCCGTGAGCCAGTTCTTCGAGGAGACGGCGAGCTCGTCCGAGGAGCGGCTCGCAGCGGTCCGGGAGTTCGTCCAGCACGTGAGGGGCGAGGCACAGGAGGGAAAAAAACACACACACAATGAATCGCCGACCCCCAGGGAAATATAGGAAAATATGGGGAGTGGGGGGGAAGGCGAAAACCCCTAAAAACATGGGAAAACATTGGGAATCCTTTTAGTTGTGTGTATCTATTTGTGTGTCCTGGGGCCCCTTCAGAGGCACGCGGCCAGAGCGCCGAGGGGCTCCTGTCCGGCCTCAAGGGCGGGCAGGGCTGGAAGAGCACCCTGCGCCGCGCGGTGCGGGAGGGCTTCGACCCCGCGGCGGCGCCCGCGTCGCCGGTGCCGGAGGCGGCTCCCGGGGGCCGCAGGGCGCCGAGGCTGACGCGCAGGGCCATGGAGCGGAGCCTCGCCGCCTGCGAGGAGGCCGCGGTGCAGCTGGTGGAGCGGCTGCGGACGGCGGTGGAGCAGCAGATGTTCCTGCAGCGGACGCTGGCGCTGCTCTCGGACGACTCCGACGTCAAGAGCAGGTCCTGCAGCATCTGCTACGACGAGGGGCTGAAGCTGGAGGAGCTCGGCATCACCCCCTGCGCTCACGTGTTCTGCCTCAACTGCCTGCGGGAGCAGATCACGAGGCTGGGCAAGTGCGGCATATGCAGGCATGAGCTGAAGCCCGAAGATGCCAGGCCGCTTCGACGCGAGATTCAGGACCAAGCCAGCGAGAAGGAGGCCCCTGACGGCATCTTCCTGCAGAGAGGGGAGTTGCGAAAGTATGGCACCAAGCTCGGGCACATTGCGTGGAAATTGCAGCAGATCAAGGAGCAGGACTCTTCGGCCAAGTGTATCGTCTTCTGTCAGTGGAGCTCCTTGCTGCAGAAGATTGCCGCGGCGTTTGTCGACTTCGAGATCCGGCACGCGTTGCTCCGAGGGACCGTCTCCGAGCGGAGCAGGACTCTGAAAAAATTCAGGCAGGCGGATTCCAGCATCGACGTGCTGCTGCTGTCGCTGGAGGACAGTGCCAGCGGCACGAATCTCACGTGTGCCAACCATGTTTTGCTGGTCCACCCGATGAACGCAAAGACGCAGGAGCAAGCGGTCTCGTTCGAGCTGCAGGCGATCGGGCGCGTCCGGCGCTGGGGCCAGCGCAGGAGTGAGGTCCACGTCTGGCGCTTCTGCACGCTCGGCACCGTGGAGGAGGACCTGACCAGGCTGCACCAGCGGGACATCTTCGCCCGCGAGTCCGAGCGCCAGGAAGCCGCTGCGACCTCTGCCCAGCCGCAGCCTCCCTCCCCGCAGCCCGTGCCGCCGCGGTCGCGGTCGCTGGACGAGGGCGGCTCGGAGGCCGCGCCCACGCCGCCTGCGGCGCAGGCGTGGAGCTGCCCGCGGTGCACGCTGGTCAACGTGCCGGCCGCCGGGCTCTGCGACGCGTGCGAGCTGCCCCGGCCCGGCGGCGCGTGCGGGGCCGGCGGGGCTGCGGTGGCACCTGCGCCTGCTCCGGCAGGGCCCCGCGGAGAGGAGCAGCGCCTCTTCTCGAGGCCGCTGAGACTGGCCGGCCGGAGCACGATGGAGATCAGCTCCTCGTCCGGCTCGTCGCAGTCCTCCTCGTCGTCCGGGTCCGGCGCCTCGTCGCCGTCCCCGAGGAGGAGCCCTGCCGCTGGTTCCCGGCCGCCGCAGCCGGCTCTTCGGGCAGACTCGGCCACGCGCAGAGGGGGGCAGGGGGAGGGGGGAAGGCTTCTTAGAAGCACCCCTGCTTCTTAGAAGGCGCGGCCCTTATGTATGGATGTAAGGCCGCCGCCTTTAAGAAGCAGCCTCCTTCTACCCAGACCCCCGACGTCATGATTTTTCCATGACGTCGACCCCCCGAGGTCTCGACCCATTCCCCGGGACCTGTTTTTCGTCCTGAGTCGTTTTTTGACGGTCCCGAGGGCCGGTAAGGCCCCCCAGAGGCCAAAAATAGAGACAAACCTCCCGTCGTGATTTTTTCATAACTCGAGGGGGTCTGGGTAAGAAGCCTTCCCCCCTCCCTCCGCCCCCTCTTGCGCGCCGCCAGCAGACGGCGCTGCTGGAGGCGCCGGGGGCAGTGGCCCCGGCGGGCGGCCGCGTGCCGCCGGGCCGCCGCCAGAGCGGCAGCCCGAGCGGCGGCGGCGGAGGCTCGAGCAGAGCGGCGCGAGCAAAGGCCTGCCGCCCCCGCTCACCACCCACCAAAACCACCCCAACCCAACCCGAAAGCTTCAACTTGCCCTCCATTTCCAGTGAGGGGGGGTCGGGAAACATCGAAAAAACACGTATGGAACCCGTACCTCCCCCCAATCCGAAATTCTTTACGCTTCGCGTATCCCCACCAGCCCATCTCAAAACAGCAACTCTTGCGAAGCATGCCGACAGTCGTGTTTTTCAGGCGTGTTTCCGCCTGCCCCCGCATATCTCCCCTGTTCCTCCTTCCTCCCGCCTCCTTGTACATCCTCCTTGTGGTGGGAGCGGGAGAAGGACGAGGCGGAGGAGGAGGGAGAGAAAGCGCTCCTCGTGGTTTGAGTCGTTTGGGGTTTCTTGTCCTGGTGTGAGTCGTTCGGGCCCTTCTTCCTGGTGTGAGTCGTTCGGGCTCTTCGTGATGTGAGTCGTTCGGGCTCTTCGTCCTGGTGTGAGTCGTTCGGGCTTCTCGTGGTGTGAGTTGTTCGGGCCCCTCGTCCTGGTGTGAGTCGTTCGGGCCCCTCCTCCTGGTGTGACTCGTTCGGGCTCCTCGTGGTGTGAGTCGTTCGGGGCCCTCGTCGTGGTGTGAGTCGTTCGGGCTCCTCGTGGTGTGAGTCGTTCGGGCGCCTCGTCCTGGTGTGAGTCGTTCGGGCCCCTCCTTCTGGTGTGAGTCGTTCGGGCTCTTCGTGGTGTGAGTCGTTCGGGCCCCTCGTCCTGGTGTGAGTCGTTCGGGCTCCTCGTGGCGTGAGGCGTTCGGGCACCTCGTCCTGGTGCAAGTCGTTCGGGCCCCTCGTAGTAGTAGAGAGTAGTAGTAGTAGTAGTAGTAGTAGTAGTAGTAGTAGTAGTAGTAGTAGTAGTAGTAGTAGTAGTAGTAGTAGTAGTAGTAGTAGTAGTAGTAGTAGTAGTAGAAGTAGTAGTATAGTAGTAGTAGTAGTAGTAGTAGTAGTAGTAGTAGTAGTAGTAGTAGTAGTAGTAGTAGTAGTAGTAGTAGTAGTAGTAGTAGTAGTAGTAGTAGTAGTAGTAGTAGTAGTAGTAGTAGTAGTAGTAGTAGTAGTAGTAGTAGTCGTAGTCGTAGTAGTAGTAGTAGTAGTAGTAGTAGTAGTAGTAGTAGTAGTAGTAGTAGTAGTAGTAGTAGTAGTAGTAGTAGTAGTAGTAGTAGTAGTAGTAGTAGTAGTAGTAGTAGTAGTAGTAGTAGTAGTAGTAGTAGTAGTAGTAGTAGTAGTAGTAGTAGTAGTAGTAGTAGTAGTAGTACAAGTAGTACAAGTAGTACAAGTAGTAGTACAAGTAGTCGTATCCAAGGCAGTTTGGAGGCCTCTTGGAGATCGTAGAGGGGCCTCTTGGGCTCTCTTTTGAGCCTCTTGGGAGCGTCTGGGGGCCCTCTTGGGCGCCTCTTGGAGCGTCTTGGCGGCCTGTTGGGCCATCTTTGGGGCGATCGATCACAGATGGGGCGAGCATTTTTGTCAGTACCCCCGTCTGGGCCACGATCCTCGTGAGGGGTGTCGAATTTTAGCCCTCCCAGGGATAGAAAAAGGACCCTCTGACCACCCGCGAAACCCCCTCTCCAGGTCCAGAGGGAGGGGGTAGGGGGAGGGGTAAACCCCTCCCCGAAGGGGAAGAAGGGGGGTTGAGAACAGAGAGAGCTCGCTAAACCACTCACGCCCAAAGGGCTGGTGGGATTCGGGTCTTCGGGTTGGGTTGGGGTGGTCTGGTAGGTCGTTAGTCATGAGCATACGCGGTGGGGGGCCGAGGGCGGTATGAGACAGGCTTTGCTGCCACCGAGGGCGCTTGTCCCAGGGCGGCTGGCAAGGTCGTGCCGACGTGCCACCGCTCCAGGTCACGATCTGCACGCCCGAAATGGGTACTGAAAGCCCAACAGCAGCTCTTGTTCATTCTGAACTTAACGGGCGAAGAACGGTATAAAATAAACTTTTCGCTGTCGGGGGCGCCTGCCCCAGGGCGGCTGGAAAGTTTATTTTATACCGTTCTTCGTTCGCTGATGAACAGGGCTCGCTGTCCACGCCGTCGCGGCCTGTGTCCATGCGAGACAGGAGGTCGCCCGCCCAACAGCGGCCGCTGTTGGTTCGGGACAACATTTGCTGTTGGGCATTGTGCCCATTTTTTCGGTACCCATTTCGGGCGTCCAAACATGAGCACACGCGGTGGCGCGCCAAGGGCGGTCTGAGACAGGCTCTGCTGCCATCGAGGGCGCCTGTCCCAGGGTGGCTGGCAAGGTCGTGCCGACGTGCCACCGTAATTGGGGATACGAAGTTTCTAGCCGCCCTGGGGCGGGCACGCGGGCGCGCGCGAGCGCACGCACACAACACAACACAACACAACACAACACAGCACAACACAACACAACACAACATAACACAACACAACACAAGACAAGATAAGACAAGACAATCCAGGACAGGACAGGACAGGACAACACACACAACACAACACAACACAACACACACACAACACACAGCACACCTACAACACACACACACACACCGCACACATGCGTGCACACACGAGCACACAAACCCACACACACACAACTACAAACACCATTCCTGTCGCCCCACGGCCATACGAGGTGTACATCAAGAACAACTGAACACATGAACATGGAGAGGGGGAGGAATAACAAGTAGCCACATGAGAAATCGGGACAGAGTCGCTCGAAAGTTCTAGGCCTTGTTCAAAGCTTAGCAATCATCTGCCATCGGGTGCACGGCAACGAGCCTCATCCTGCAGACACTTACCTTTCCTGTCCGCTCCCGGTCTCCTGGCTCTCGTCCCTTCAGTACACCTTGTGAGCATGTAGTCGGTTGCACTCGGTATGAGGGGTAGGCGAGCGCTGTGTTCCAGGATGGGGTGCCGAAGGTTTGGTAGCTGCTGGGTACTTGCTTGCGAGAATGTGCGGACAGGTGAGTAGGCCGGAAGGACCAGAAGAGGGAGGGACGGAGTGCAAAGAGGAACAGGGGGTAGTAAGAATATGTGGTCTGAGATTTCCGACATGTGAGGCCTCTGGATGGCAGATGGGGGCCATCAAAATGTATATGCATGTATGGGTGTGAGTGGAGATGAATCGACAGATACACGTGTGGCCAGATGGACGGGGTGCACCGATCGGTCTGTGGCGTTCGGATTGCTTGGATGCGTGCATGGATCGATGCCTGGATGAGTAGATGTGTGGACAGATGTCTGCTTGGCTTGGTGTATGGGGCAGATTGATGGATGGATGCAAGTACGCATTTAGCACAGCCGAATCGTTCTGGAATCTAGTACGTAGCTCGCGCGTTCCTAGTGAACTGAATGTACACATACCGATCATCAACTCCGACGGCCAGACATATTGGTACTCAGTTTGACGCATGTTAGGCTCCCAAGACTTTCAGCCGCACAGCTGCATAAAATTGAGCATGTGGGTCAAGTTCGGTATACAACTACGCTGGCTATCAATTTATATACACATGAGCGGGATCACCAGCGGTTAGTTCACACACGCAATGGAGTCCAAGTTGGTTTTGAATACAGTCGTTCACAACAAAAGGACAACAAAAGGACGGACCTTGGCTTGGTTGCATGTGGTTTCCACAGAGGTCCTCATGGGTGCCAGCGTGGTTTTGACTTGGTTCCAGGCTGCCCCCGCGAGGTTTTGCAGGGCCCTTTGGTGTTGCCAGCGTGGTTCCGCCGGGTCTCGCGTGCTTCCGGCGCGGTTCCAGCTTGGCGCCGCAGCGCTGTCCACCATGCGTGGTTCCAGCGTGGTTGGACACGGCCCACTTCGGGGCCATCCGAGGGTTTTTTGGGGCGTTTGGGGATGTCTCGGGGCTCTTCTCGGTACCTTTTCGAAGGTATCTTGGGCTCAACCTGGGGACACGTGAAGGCCCGCAGTGCCCAACAAAAACCGAAAAGGCGGGAGATGACAAAATCACAGGAGCGCGGCCTGATCTACGTCGCCTGCGGTTCATTTCAGCCGCGCTCTTCGAACAAATCGCTGAACAGAAGAAGCTCGAATCATTTGCGATTGATCTGATGCCTTTTCGGGCGCTCTTTAAACCAATATTGATGGCCTCTTAGGGCGCCCTGGCTTGGGAGTCCCCAGGCCGTTGGGGTCCGCTTAGGAGAAGGTGAAAGAGGGCGTAATCGTTCAAAAGCAACGATTCCACAAACAATATGTACTAGCATTTTGGGCTGCTGATTTTGTTGGAAAGGAATTGGTTGTAGTTATTGGGTTTTCGTTCGTGACCCACACCAGAGCCCCTGGTCCTGCAAAACCTGATTGTTGCGATTGCCGGTTGCCGCCACTGGTGCCCCAGGTCCCGCTGGCCTTGGTTGCCGCGCCTTTCCGGTCGCCGTCCATGGGGTCGTGGGCCCCGCTGGGCCTTGTTGTTGCGATTCCCAGTCGGCGCCCCACAGGGACGCAGATCCCGATGGCCTTCATGGCTGCGACCTCCCAGTCACCGCCCACAGGCTCTCAGGGCCACGGGTCCCGCTTGCCTCTGTGGTTGCCGTTTCCAGCGCGGGGCCCCCTGGTTCCGCCTGCGGTGACCGCGACGACGTTGCTGGCTCCTTCTCCTCCTCCTCTCTCCTCCTCCTCCCTCCTCCTCCTCCTCCTCCTCCTCCTCCTCCTCCTCCTCCTCCTCCTCCTCCTCCTCCTCCTCCTCCTCCTCCTCCTACTCCTCTCCTCCTCCTCCTCCTCCTCCTCCTCCTCCTCCTCCTCTCTCCTCCCTCCCTCCTCCTCCTCCTCCTCCTCCTCCTCCTCCTCCTCCTCCTCCTCCTCCTCCTCCTCCTCCTTCCTCCTCCTCCTCCTCCTCATCCCCTCCTCCTCCTCCTCCTCCTCCTCCTCCTCCTCCTCCTCCTCCTCCTCCTCCTCCTCCTCTCTCCTCCTCCCTCCTCTCCTCCTCCTCCTCCTCCTCTCCTCTTCCTCCTCCTCCTCCTCCTCCCTCCTCCTCCTCCTCCTCCTCCTCCTCCTCCTCCTCCTCCT